AGTGGGGTGCATGCGATAGCGTGTGGAACTACTAGTCCAGAGACTTCTAACACTATATAAATTTGTAAGAAGAGTTTATGTAATTCTAAGCCTTCAGTTCAGCTATTTCAAATGGTATCCATTTGAAAGATTGCTTTTTTTCAAATGTTACTCACTCTTTGAATTACAACACGGAGAATACACTTGGCCCTCACACTTTTTGATAATGAAATGAGGATATTATTTTTGCATGAATTTCTCTTTATTTTTTGAGTATTCAGAGAAAAGGATCATCTCGCGTCTGGTCTCTCATTAGGGTCGTTAGAGTCATTTCGTTGCCACTTGCTGGGATGGGGAGAATGGACCAAGTGTAACGCCACGACTGTTGACAACGTAAGTCCCGCGTCTAGTAATTTTCCTTCTGGACATGCTGCTTCTGTGGAGTGAAGTTGAAACGAACTAGAATGTTATGGTGAACTTCTGCACTACTCTCTCAAATTGCGACTGATTGATAAGAGTTCTACTCGATATCCGAGATTTGGGGTAGGCAGCTATGTGGGTAAGCTGCTTCCAACATACATCGCTGGATATCAGCAAAGCATGCTGGCAACAGCTTATCCACGCAACTTCTATCAAGTGCACGTCACTTCCGGTGACACGCCTACCCCAACTTTCGGATATCGACTGTAAACGATTTCTGAGAATCACACTAATCGTAAGAAGAAGTATTATAGCGAGTGTCACACCAATTAGTATCAGTGCAAATCATTTCAACGATTATTTCTGAGACGAGCCATTGTGGAATGAAGTGTCTTCGGATGGATGATAGTCTCATGGCCGCAGAGGCGGATGAGGGTCGAACGGTGCAAGAGGTTTCAGAGGGACTCCCATCAGGGTGTCAGACTAGTAATACCGTTCGCTTCGGAGAGCTCTTTAACACGTTGACGACAACGCGCGTTTTGGGTTTTTGCGCCGCGTGGGACCACGGCGATTTTGCAGGCGCCGCCGCCTCACATAAAATCCGTGAATTTTGAGCTTTAACTACGCAAAACTCGGATGCAACAAAATGTTTCGAATGATATTCGATGTGTCAAACTTATCAGAAGGAACAACTGTAAAAGTTCGATCGAATTGACGTTTTCTGGCAATGAAAGGCAAGTTTCAGTTGCTTTTGCTGTAGTGAACCTCAAAATTATTTTTGACGCGGTTGCTCCACTAAAAACATATATCTTGCTATATGTGTAGGTCTGTACTTACTTCTACTACTCTTTTTTATGACCAAGGTTGTCAGAATATAAAGAAAACTAGGAATGAACACAATTGGGAAATTCGTAGGGCTTGGAAAACCTTCGCTAAAAAGGAGCATATTCAACCATTCGATGAACCTCGCCGTGTCTAGTCATATTATGGTGTGGTCTATAGAATAGATGCAAAAAATTAGAAAAGAAGTAGCGCATGCGCGAAAAAAATTAATATTTGTGTGTGCAGCGCATGCGCTGCACACGGTCCCACACGGTGCTCAAGGTGTGATGCGCATGCGCTGCACAATGTCGTCAACGTGTTAATAAGTAAAGGTGACGAAAACATGAAAGTGAGATGAGAGAATTACATGCTATGATGAAAATAGCGACATCCCTGCCCATTCTTGTTAACTGAGCCTCTTGGAGGTCAAGCTTGTCACGTGTCCATGTTTTATCTTTATATTAGGTTGATGCATGGTTATTGCGCCTTTTTTCCGCGCCTCTTTTTCTCGAAAAGATTGGCGTTTTGTTTATTATTTTTTCATGAAATATTCTTCTCTCTTTCATTAACAGAAATGCTTATCGAAAATCATCTTCATATTCGCCACATATGCTCTACCACTTCGAGAAAGGTTGGAAGGCGGCAGAGTCATTTCGCGATCTCAACGAACTTTTCGGCGAGGGAACAATCAGCAAAAGCCAAGTTGAAAGATGGTTCAAGAGGTTCAAAACGCCATATTTACCGACGAAGCTCCTACAGACTACCAATTCAATCAGTCGTTGAAAAACTGGCAAACGAACAAAAATTACGACGAGCTGGATGACTTATTGGCCGATGTTGAAGCGATGAGATGCCTGCGATGAGAGCCGATGTTTCCAAGAATCGTGTCTTTCTCCACTCGTAGAATCGAGCGATGCCGGGCAAATGAGAAGCATTCGTGAAGGATGGTGAACACGCTCCAGAATAATCACTTAAACACATTTTTGTCAAATATTTTTAACGTTTTCACTGAATAGGATTTATTGGAAAAAGTCACAATAATCATGCATAAGCCCAATACTTATAACCACCGTGTGAATTATGAAGAAAGACTAATGTCCATATCTGCTGGTGAATTATGAAGAAAGACTAATGTCCATATTTCGAAGTCCGATAGAGTGTGTATTTGGTTTTAATTCAATCATTGAGGTTTCATTCAGTGAGGAAGTCATTCTGAACGCCCACATGTGTATCACAGCTCGCGGGAAGATTAGACCACCACACCATTGTTTTTATTCCTCATAACCTGCACCAACAGTCGCACACTCGAGAAGTACTAAGGAATAGAAGTGATCTGCGAATTGATCTGGATACGATGGAAATGTGAAAATTGACATGTGGTAGTTATAGTCACCTGATCACATAATTGGATATCGTGCTCTTCTCATAACGAATTTATGATTTTTAAATTTTGTTCTTTCAAAAGCGTCAGAATGCATGAAAAATGGGAACAAAGCTGCCTTCGTTAGAAAATTTACAGCTTCCTTTGGCAAAGTATAAAACATTTCCTGATTTTCTGCAACTGGATTGATGTAGGCAAGTAAGTCCTGTAAGCAACAGAATGTGTAGAATATGCCGTTCTGTGTGTTGCTCAGTACTTTACTGCCGAGTTATGCGAAATCCAGTGTTTCCTGGTGGGTACCATTTCTTTGGCTTGAGCTGTTTTAAAAATTTTTGCCAGCCTTTTCGAATAGCCTTAGACGAGCTTTCGCCGCTAATGGTCGCTCTTATGGCGCAAATCACCGCAATCACCGCTCACTCATAACAATGATCACGGCATTCTATCCAAACTTCCTGAGCTGACGATCATGTGGAATGTTGACTATGGTGATATCAACACTCAAGAATATTGAGAATAACTACATCTTCAGGCGAAAAAGAGTCGCCAGCTTATTGCTCCTTGCCTGAGCAAAAAATACGAAGACTACGCCCCTTGTTTATGTCCGTTGAGAGACTGTCCATCGATCGAAGTTAAAGAAAACCTCACGGCACCTGTATGTATGGAAAATTCTACAGGAAAGGTGAATTTCATTACTCTAGTATCAACAACTAATATACACAAAACGTCTTGTCCTTTTTTCAGAGTTTTCAGCGTCAACTGCTGCCCATTTCGGAAAAGTCTTTGTATCATTCGAGGAAAGATTTAGCTCTCGGAAGAATAACTGAGTGCCTGCATGAACAACTCGAACATAACACATAAAGGCAGGAGGGGCCGGTACTGCTCTTGAATCTCGGGTCACACGCCATCTGGGGCAACCGATCACACCATTCCCTCGGGTCGATAGATTCCAAATCTGCCTGGGAGGATAAAAACACTGACTAATACTTCGGCTGGCCTCCCATGCAAATATCGGTCGCAAATTTACGACGTGGGGGCTTTATTTACGTTTTTGGAACGTGGGCAAAGAATCAGCCCTCCACTAGGACAATTGGAACGGATTTTTTGATGTTGGGCTGTATCATCTTTCCCTCTTTCTCTCTCGCATGGTCACGCTTTGAAACGCCAACATCGTCCGAGTATTCGTATCGAGGCCGCCCTGAAAAATGTTTTATTGACATTACCGGTTTTCTACTGGAAATTTTAATGGATTTGCAACTGCAGGAGAATAACATTAATTTGCAGTCGTTGCAGTAGAAGAGCTGAAGTGACACCTTACGTACCAAATACAAAAATTTAGTTTTAAACTGCTTCTTGAGAAGTGATATGACTAGTGGTCTGAGTGGTCTGTGCAATAAAATGGCAATATGGGACCACTAGTAGGAAGAAGGAGCAGGATCTGGGATGTGAAAGTCGACTTTACATCTCCCTCTAATGTGATTCTTCTCTGCTTATTACAGTTTGAAAAGAATTGGTAGGTTTATTCACAAGGACGATCGTGTTACGTTTGGCAGCAGCGACACAATGGTGATAAGGAACATTTTCCTTGCATCCAAGGCAAATAGTTTAAAAAAATACAAGTCCCATACAAAAATTAGTCAGTTAGACCTTTGGCGACAATGGCACCCACCGGTGGGTGCCACTATGTGCGCCGCGTGGGACAATGGCACCCAATGGTGGGTGCCACCTTTAAAATTTCCTTCTTTGCGCATTTAAAACATTTTTAACATTCTAGTAATTATTAGCAAGCTTCATAATATCTATGTATAGCATGGTTAAGAGAAGTGCTTGATAGAAGCTAATTTACACGAAATTTCAGTGTCTGGCATCCAACTCGGCGGCATTTTACTGAGGTTTTGCATTACTAGACTGAAGATTGATCACTGATCGGGACTTCCCCGCGTAATTTTTACTCGAGGTCTTTGCCACTCACTAGACCTGAAATTGATCACGTGTTGCACTTTATTCCTTTCAATACCTTCAGAAAGCACACCCACCCGGGAGCCACACGAACCCAGACAACGGGGAGTGTACAAAAAATTCTATTTTACATCTAAACTCGAGTTTTTTACCCTCCATCTTTTTGAAATCCGCGTTCGCCTTCTGAACATTCAATTTCCTTCCCAACAATGCATAACATGAAAGCTAAATCTGTACTTATATCACGCACTTTGCTAAAGTCGAAAATTGGATAGAAAAACTGCTTTAGGGACAATTTTGCCTAATTTGAGCGAGAGTTGGGCGCGCCAAAAGAGGCGTGGTCCCACGAGCCCGCTACGTGCAAATCCGCATTGTCGTAAAAGGGTTAACGAATTTCGATATAGGAGTGAATCAGTCAGAAGACAAGTTTGAGAAATATCACTGGAGCAGGTAATTTCTCAGATGAGTTGAGATAAATATGAGCAAAACGCTCAAAGCGGTACGATAGACTCCCAACAACTAGAAGTTCGATATGGTTTTGTGTGAATGTGTTTGCAAAGCGCTTTTAAACAAATTCCGAAGAAAAAGCTGAATAGCAGGAGAATCGGAAGGAAGTTCCCTGAGTGTGAAAAACGATGTGGCATCTTCCAAAACAATGCGAGCTTGTCACTGGATTTCCGAAAATTTCAACCAGACTTTATGTACAACCGTCACGTTGGACCATTTTTGAGAATTTACGACCTCTTCCTCTTAGCGAGTCTCGATAAGACTCCCCCCCCCAAATACTAAGAGGAAGAGGTCGTAAATTCTCACAAAATGGTCCAGCGTGGTTGACCCTACATAAAGTCTGATTGAAGATTCTTCGGAAATCCAGTGACAAGCTCGCATTGTTTTGGAAGATGCCACATCGTTTCTCACACTCAGAGAACTTCTTTCCGATTCTCCTGCTATTCAGCTGTCACTTGGTATTTGTGTGTTTGCGCACTATTTTCTGCTACTACTTCAAGCGCTAATTGAGCGCAGTAGCGTTTCGTTTGCATTGGTGCACACAATCTTCCGCTCGACCCAGTACGAATAGAACGACTAATTTTCATGAGTGTAATTCTGTTCAACTGTCAATATTTTTCAAAACGCTAAGTAGATTTGTAATCTACGAGACTGCTAGTTTCAGAAAACTACCACGTTTGTGCAGTATCTCCAGAACTCTTTTAGTTATGGGGTAGAGAATTAAGAATCCACAGAAATGCGCACTTCTTCATTTGAAAGGTTGTAATTTTTCCTTCAAATAAGAAAGTGTGAGAAGTGGTAAGAAAATTTTGAAACTCTAGATTGTTTTCTTTCTAAAAAGTACTCAAACTTTTGTAAAGTTTCATTTCTTCAAAAAATCGCCCCGTTGGACCGTTTTTTTGCACAACCAGGTTTTTTGGCTTTCAATGACTATAACTTTCTTCAAATTCAACCTTTTGCAATTCTTGTCCCCCTGTAATAAAGAGGTAGACTGGGGCTTTCTAGTGAATACATAATCTCACATCCAACATTATCTGTTCTAGAAATCTCCCCGTTTGACCTTTTCCCATTAATTTTCGGAGCTGCTCTCTTGGAAACGCGAGTTTTCAGCACCCACAAACTCAAACCTCTCTTCTAACTTCATTTTATGAGAGATAATGCCACCTAAAGACACACGAACAATCTTTGTGCTTCATGACAGATAATAAACCCTTTCAGGAAGTCGGCAAAAGGCGAATATTTTCTGTCTTCAAAGTGCCCTTTCAAGCGTTTAGCATTCAATCTGCTCAAGTGGTCACTCTCTTACTAACTTTGAGCTTTGATCCAGTTTGAAAACTTTTGTTTTCGTCTAGCACATATTTGTGTAAGTGAACAGTCAAATATGGGAAGTTCTGCAGTAGACTTTTCTGCTTTGAGGTAACTATGCACTTGTTTGTGATTTATAGAAAGTTGGAGAAGCACTCAAAATTATGCCTCTCGGCTGCGACGTTGACCCTATACGACCCCCCCCCCTTTTTCGGTCGGCCGAATACGACCCCCTCGTTGGACTTTGTCCAACGGACGGTTGACCCTGATCAGAAGTCCTTGCAAGGCTCTATGGTAGACCTTGGAGTTCTATGTGAAGATCATGGAAGCGATTCACATCTCCTTCACTGAATAAATTTCTAACAACAGCCCTAGTTGCAAGCGCTGAAGTGGACCGGCCACCTCCACAGGTCACGAAAATGTGTTTATATCCAAAAAATGGTTAGACGTAACACTTTTATCCGAAAAATATCAACATCACTGTCATCTAGTAAAGTGGTGCGATAGCAACGCAGACTCAACTTCGTCCAATCTCTCTATAAGTTCAAGTTCACGAACTGAAGTTGTTTCTCTCTTTTTACGCTCTCTATCGCTTCATATTTTTCGAGAAGGAAACATTAAATTACGCACGACTTCGATTTCAAGAGGAAATACTGCTTAGGACAGCGCTCACTAATCTTCTCTAATCATTTGCAGACACCTTTTACGGATGCTCAAAACTTGTGGAATATCTAGAAACGTGGGTGAACTTTGATTATTTACGGATAGAACAAAGAACTTCCTAGACTGCTTCGCAAAGACTTGCCACGAACCGAGGCGAGCACCACAAACTGCATAAAACTGACTTTTTCTTAGAATGACGAGTATGAAACACTCCAGAAATTCGGTTTATGGATGCGTTTGTAACAATATTGTACAGTACTCGCCGTTTGAAATCGAAAATTCACGCGAATAACGCGAATCCTCGTTAATTTCGTGAATTCGTTATAAGTCGGGTCAGAGTGAAGTATTCCAGAAACGGAAAACACCGTTGAACTCAGCTCTTCAAGCGCTACAAGATGGTGCTGTTATTTTCAGAAAGCTTGATTTCGGAATGCCTATGCACTCGATTTCATCCCAAAAAGTAGTTGCTCGACGTGATGTGTATATAATCCCGCTTATGCGGGCTAACCGCTACACACAAAGAAGGGCCTCAAAACTTATCCCAGAATGCGCCACGTACTCAGCTTCCTACATTTGTGGAGATTATGAATGTTTTTTCCAAATATCGTCTTGTTTCGTTTTTAAGGCTTACTGGTCACGTGTTTCCCTGTGTTTATATCCCTCTGGTTTCGAAGTTGGGATCTTTCAAGTTCTCAGCAGGCATAGTGGGCCTATTATGTGACATTTTCCATTTTCAGAGGGGATGTTTTGCAGACAGTTGTGAAGATAGCGAACAATTTCCCTCACTGTCGTAGACTACGGTCACTTGTCTGTTAAGGATTATATGGAAACTTTGGTCGCAGGTGAGCGTTCCTTCCGTGGTGTGACCCCAAACATCACCCCTTGTCATGCCCTTGTGGAATGTTCAGATTTTTTGCATTTCCAAATGAACTGGCAGACCTGAAATGTGCCCCGTTAGCTCCGGTGGAAATTTGCTATCGATGATTGTTATTCTCCAGTTGAAACTGGTGTTTTTCACGTTTTCATTCCTTCCCTATTGCCGGATTGGGCACCCCACGATTACTGCCCCAAAATCTCAAAGTTTCATTTTTCGTCGAAACTTTGTCTATTGGGGTAATTCGATGCCCTGATTACGAATATGACATTCATTTTTGATGCTGGTGTCATTTGGCGCCATTTGGCGCCGTTTGGCGCCAATTTGGCGCCACGGCTGTTTTCACCAAATCTGCTGAAACTTCGTCATTTGGGGTTATTTGGGCCGAGCGTGCCGCACTGACCATCGAACGAGACCAGGGTCTACGTTCATGCCCGAGGATTCCTTTTTCAAAACTGTAACTTTCCTGAGTCCACGGTGTTCGCACTGCCCTATTTCTGGGACTCCTTCGGATGGTCCGAAGGAAAGACGTTTCAACTCTACTGCGGCTCAT